CCAGCCTGTCCAGATCTCACTGGATGGCAGTGCAGCCCTCTGGCATGTCAGCCATTGAACTCTCCAGTTGTGTTGCAGTTGCTCCTTATGTTCCTATGTTGTTTTAATCAGCTTAAAAGATAACCTGTGTGAATTTTTTGCCATGATACTGATCAGTCTCTTCAAAAAAAGTAATTCAGAAAATTAAATTGATGCTGGAATTCTTGCTTTCAGTTTGTTGGCATTTGCGTCTTTGAAAACTATTTCTTACTAGATTTTTAATTACATGAATATTTAAAAAATCTTGCTTACCTGACTTCTTAATAAGCTTTTTGTGACTAGATGAAAAATGGCATGTTAAAAGTAGTGTATATCTAATTTATTTTCTCTGTTTTTGATACCAAAATAATTTCAGTAGATAGTGGGCTTCTGGTCAGGAGCCGGGCCTCTTAATTCTTATTGTTATGTTGGTGTCTGTTTTCATCTGAGTACATATTATATGTAAGTAATGGATGATACTGAAAATAAGACCCAGAAACATCCTTAGCAGTTCTTTTTTGGCAGTGGTTGGCATTGGATGGCTGTTATTTTCATTTGTTTAGTATAATGTTGGATTGACAAAATCAGTGGGTACGCTGGTACACTGAAATGGCCTGTGCCAAGTGAGTTGTTTACATAGAACTGAAATGTAATTTGAATAATGGAATTATCATTAGAAGGTGTTGTTTGAACTGTCAACTTTTGTCTTCATTCTTCCTTTTTTTTTTTTCTTACCCAGGTGGAAAAACTGCCATCCTCTTTCAGCAGACGGGAATTACCGTCCATTGTCTAATGCCAGGCAACAGCAAAACATAAGTATGCAGCGTCAGGAAAACCTTCGGTGGATGTCTGAACTTTCATATGTGGAAGAAAAGGAACAATGGCAAGAGCAGATTGATCAGTTGAAGAAACAGCATGAATTTAGTGTTAGCATTTGTCAAACTTTGATGCAGGATCAGCAGGTAGATATGAAGAGCAGTGTTTTTGTTTTTCTGCCATTGTCTTGTCTTTTTTTTTCTCTAATCTTTCCAACAATAGCTTCTGCTTTTGATAATTTTGTCACTGTCATGTATTTTCTTTCCACAGACCCTTTCTTGTCTTCTGCAGACTCTGCTTACAGGCCCTTACAGTATGATGCCTAATAATGTCGCATCTTCACAAGTACATCTCATCATGCATCAGTTAAACCAATGTTACACTCAACTGACTTGGCAGCAGAATAACGTCCAAAGGTTTGTTGGCTGTATTAGTGTTTGTGAAATTGTATATGTTTCAGTAACAAAGAACATGGTTTTGTGAATAAAAGGTTACAGGTCATGGTGAAATGAGATTATTTAACTTCTGAGTTGATTACAAGCTTTTGAAATTGCATACAGTGGTTTTGGTGGTTTTGTGGGTTTTGGTGTTTGGTTTGTTGGTTTAACTGCTGCTTTACTGCCTTTGAGATGGTTCTTTTTAAGTAATCTTTAGTGAAGAGAACCAAAAGCTGGCATACAAGATGTTGTTTGGTTTTTTTTTCCTTGAAGTTTGTTTTTTGGGGTTTTTTTGTTTTGTTTTTTTTACTAGATTAATGGAGCAGTTCTTTATGTACATTACATGGGGCAGATGAAACAATATGAACCTCAGATTACTCGAGTATAAATTTACAGCTTTCCCTTTGCATTTTTTTTCCCCAAGTGCTTATTTTCCCTTGTTTTGAAGGTTGAAACAAATGTTAAGTGATCTTATGCGCCAGCAAGAAGAACAACAGTGTCAAGAGAAGCCATCGAGACAGGAGAGAGGTAGTAGTGCACCACCACCTCCATCTCCTGTTTTCTGTCCATTCAGCTTTCCTCCACAACCTGTGAACCTATTTAATGTTCCAGGATTTACTAATTTTTCTTCCTTTGCTCCAGGTGAGTATTACTACAGACATGAAAAGTAATACGTATTTCCAAAACTTCTGTTCTCTCATTTCGTTGAAATCTTAATGTGAACTTGCTGAAACTCGTGACTTTTTCTTTATGTTGAAACAGTCTTTAGAAGTGCTTGGATGAGTCCATATTATCCTAGCAGATGTTTGTTAATGTTTATTGCTGAACAATCTTATATTTTGACTTCAGTATGAAAAGCAAGACTTCCTCAGTAAGAAATTGGTTGTAGTCGACAATACCCACACCACAAAGTTAACATTTTAAATGTTCTGTGTCCAACATGTCAGAAGCAGTGTTTGAAGCTTTAATGTACCTTCAGCAATCATTTAATAGTGTTCTGACTAAGTGAACCCTCTAATTTTAATTGAAGGTGGCACTTGGTAATTATTTATTATTTTCTTAGAACTTCCAGCACTCATTTTTGTTTGAAATGGCTGTAAATGGAGTGTATTACTAACTTTTGTTCCTATCAGAGGTATAGAGTTAATGTTGACTTGGATGCAATGTTCCTAATCTCATTACCAAATCTACTTTTACTGTTGAATTTGAAAAGGGAAAAATTGTAGGTATTTTACTGTATCATTAGGAGTTGTTAAAGCTATCTTAAATAATACATTTCAGGCTTTTCAGGAAACCAGGAAATAGAGATAAACCTAGATTGTAGCTTTCAGATTCTAAAACCTGTTTTCTGTTTAAGGGTATATTTTAAATTGTATGGAACTACTGATGGTAGCTGAAGTATTGATAAAGTCTTCCTGCAGACAGAACTCTGCCTTTTTTTGGAACTTGATGTCATTTTTACCCTCGCTTGTAGGAGCTCTTTACTGGAGTTTCTTGAAGTACCTTCATCTCTCCACTGATGGGACTGTAGTGGCATGTGTAATGTTCAAAACGTGCATGTAAGATAAATTCTGATTATTACAGTGCTTTCAGGACGGAAGCAGTTTTTACTTCCCCACTGTATTTTTGCTTCGTAATTTCATGTTGCCGTACAATACATCTCAGATTTGACTTTTGTCATACAGGTAAATGAGGTAGTATCTTCTGACTCTCTTGTTTACTTTATAGGTATCAACTATAATCCAGTGTTCCCTTCTAGTTTTGGAGATTTTGCACACAATATTTCCCCACGCAGCAGTGAGCAGCAGCAACAACAACAACATCCTTTAGATCATAATGCTTCTGGGAGAACTGAGTATATGGCATTCCCCAAACCTTTTGAAAGTGGTTCCTCTAACGGAGCAGAAAACCAAAGGTACTTAATGTCACAGTGCAACTCTCCTTTAATCATTTATCCTCCCTCTCCTCTCTTTTCTGGGTGTTGTGGGAATTCATTATTCTTTTAGGGGTTTGTAATCGAATTCCAAGATGAGCTTTACTTTTACAATTTCCAGTTTATTTCTTTTACTTTTTTTAGTAAAGTATTCTGCTTTTCTGTCTGTTAACTTAATGTATCATTTAATTTGTGTTTCAGGAGTTGTAGTGGTTTTTGTGATACATTTTGTAAGTTGAGGAAGATTTCATTTCCATGTTTTTAGAAACTGACCTGTTTGAATAACTGGAGGATATAATTTCAGTGAATGTTTTTGTGTTTTTTGTGCTACAGTAGATTGTAATGAATGTTGTTTGAAGAAATGCCCTATTTGAGCACCGCAATAGCTGCATGAGTATATTCAGGTTGAAATCAATGATAAATGCTAATTTCTTCAGTCATCTTCATTTTCACATTCGGAAGGGTTCACCCTAGATTTTCTTTCTGTTTTTTTTCAGTGTTCAGTTGATGGCTAAGTAACTAGGGCAGACAACTTGAATTCTGGATAAAGCTGTTTGTCTGGTAATACAGGCTGTTTCTGAGAGACTAGGTTGTGATACATTGTTTCTTTCTTCCTGACAGAAGGAGTCATAGACAACCTGAAGAGGAAATGGAAAAACAATCAACTTGGCTTAATGATAGCCGGGAAGTGAAAAAAGATGATCAATCTCAGCTGAAAGCAGGTTTTGCAGTTTCAGTACAAAACATTGCTTCCAGTCATAAAAATCAGTCAGATGTGAGCAGGAGAAGAGAGTTTGATGAAGAGTCTTTGGAGAGTTTTAGTAGCATGCCTGATCCAGTAGATCCAACTACTGTGACAAAGGCATTTAAATCCAGAAAAGCATCAGCGCAAGCAAGCTTGGCATCAAAAGATAAAACACCCAAATCGAAAAATAAGAGGAAGTGTTCTTCTCAGCTAAAAGGCAGAACTAAAAATATTGGTAAGTTGTAAAGTAATCTTAGATACCATGGCAAACTCAACTTGGATTATAATAATTGCATTTCAGAGAATTTACTCTCGGAATGATACTTATAATAATGAAAATAAATTATTGAAATATGAATTCTCTTTACATAACCTTAACTACATAAGGTTTTTTAGTATTTCAGTAAATAAAAACCATTACTAACAAAATGACAGAACCATTAACACATGATTATTTGAATGGATAGTGGATGCAAATACACTGAAGTTTGGAATAAGCCACCAGGAGAATCTTCCTTTTAATTATGTCTTCATGTTCAAAGTGGGTGACTTACTGCAAGCTGGGCTTCAGTAAAATAATGAATGAGAGGAGGGACAGTACTAGTATGTGTAGTACTGTTGCAGTCACTGAGGATTTAGTGCTATTGTGTGGCTTCAGTGCACAGAGGAAAAATTTTGGCTAGGAAACATCATTGGCGTTTCACATCTTTGAGATTACTCTCAAACAAATTTATAGAAGTAGTAAAACATTTTGTAAGTTTGGGGTTTTTTTATTTCTTCCTTTTCATTCTCTCCAATAAGGTTATGAAAGTGCAAGCGCTTCTAGTGTATGTGAACCCTGCAAGAGCAATAAAAGCAGACACACTGAAGAGGTTGTTCATGCAAAAGTGTTCAGCAAAAGGAATCGGGAACAGTTGGAAAAAATAATTAAATACAGTAGATCTACAGAAATGTCTTCAGGTATTCATTTCTGGATGTCAGTAATTTTGTGAACTTCTCTGAGTAAAGGAGCTCTGTACTCTGTTGCTAGCGTATTATTTAAAAGCGATTTATTACGACAAGATGACAATGCTGTATTTTTAGCATGTGAATTTTGCTTTTTGATTCCTAAATATGCTGTAAACATAAAAGTGTGTAAGAAGTTGAGTACTGATTGCTTTTATATGTTTTCTGTAGGTTAGGTACTTGATTAAAATAATTTAGAAACAAACCAGCTACTGTAAAGCAACCAAAAATCTAGACAACCAAAAACATCACCGGTTTGTCAGTGTTTTTGTGGAAAGTAAATGCACAACAGATGAAACTTTGTTCAGCGTTTAAACTACATTCTGTACTGCATATGTGTTTTCTTCCTATTCATGCTTAAAAGAGCTCTGTGAAATACCATTCCAATTCAGTCTTATAACATCACATAAACCTTTACATTTTTGCCATCTGCACTGCTTTTCTTGCATCTAGATCATAAAAATATTCTCTTCTGTGTCTTTTTGGGTTCTGCCAGAACCTTTTGTTTTGTTTGAAAGATGCAGATACTTTAGTCATTGTAGCACAGTGTACAGCTTTGTCAATGTAACTGTGTCCACACTGAGAGCTGTTTATTGGTATACATAATAAACTTTTACTAGTCCAGTTGTCACAATAAGCAGCTTTGATGTGGTTTGGATGACTAAGCAGTCTTCCTCCTGCTGTTTTGTATAGACCCTGTCTTTATTTCTGGTGCACATTTTTGTGTTTATCACTGTCTATCCCCACTTTCCTACAGCGCATGCTAGGAGAATTCTGCAGCAGTCTAACAGAAATGCATGCATTGAAGCGCCAGGTAATGCATTCACTGCTTAGCTTCAACAATGTCCTGTTACTTTTTTTCCCTCTTACCTTTGGTCCTATAACTCACTGTTTAGCAGATGTTCAAAATAGTACTGTTGCAGCACCTTCTCTATAACGGCAAGAGAAGTTTCTTGTAATTTGCATGAAATGCAACAATACAGACTACTTTGAATTACATTTATGGAGAACGTGTTTTTCATATTCTTGGTTAGTCACTATTACAAATAGAAAATACGCAGAAAAAAACCCCAAAGACCCTAATTTCGGTAGGCATTTTTAGTATGTTTAAAAGCTACTATGTGTTTTATTTATGGGAGAGGGAGGTGATTTCTGGTGGCTTACTAAAGGCTGAAAAAGCTTGCCTCTATGCTAAAAAGTACTGGTTAACTATTTGCAGATGATCAAACTGCACAGTAATATTTGCTGTATTGCTAATTACTTCATTAACTTGAATACTAACAAATATGCATCTGTTAAACTAAGCTGAGTTTTCCAAATTTAACTTTTTCCATTCAACACTTGCCAAAATGTGTGTAATAATTTTAACTGTTGTGATGCAAGGATAATGCTTAATTTTCAAAGGAGTAGGAGGCTTATTAGGGAATACACTGTCTTCTCATACATATGTAATAGGCTAAGAGGTCTTAAGTGAGCCTCAGAAGTGATGTTAGACATGTATGAGAATGCTGGATTATGCTTGTGAGGGAAGGAATGGCTTTCTTGAATTCAGTCTAGAGCTTTCTTAATGTTGTTGCTTGTGTTGCAGAAGTGTGGACTACCTGTATTATATAAACTTGAGACCTTTGGCTATCTCATTTGAAATATCTTAAAGCTCCATTTTCAGTGCTAAATACCTCTTCTGAAAGCAACATTTTGTGTGCAATATTCTTTTTAATAAAGAATATTTTCTGAAGGTATTGTTTAAAAATTGTAAAGATAATTATTCCTATTCTGTATTTCATTTTGTACATAAAGGATTTCATAAAGTACAATTTCAGAATGTTTAAATCTTTGCCCTTCATTACATGAGTAAGCTTTAAGAAAGCAGCTATATAATGGAATCTACAATGATGAGACATAATTTGTGTATCTGTACCTAATATGCATCCAGTTGAAAGAAGACTGCCTATTGTGGACTTAGTGAGTTTTCTTCTTTTTTCTACAGAAACTGGTAGTGATCTTTCTATGTTTGAAGCTTTGCGAGACACAATTTATTCTGAAGTGGCAACACTTATTTCTCAAAATGAGTCTCGTCCCCACTTTCTTATTGAACTTTTCCATGAGCTTCAGCTGTTAAATACCGATTACTTGAGGCAAAGGGCTCTGTATGCTTTGCAGGTACGCACAAAATTTTTGATCTTGTGTGTGAATCAAACAAATCTTAGATCCTTTTTTACAGTATAGATTTATTATCTTTTTTTCCAGGACATAGTGACTAGACACTTGTCTGAGAACAATGAAAAAGGGAAGCACACAAAATCACTGAATTCTGCAGCATGGATAGCATCAAATTCTGAACTCACTCCCAGTGAAAGCCTTGCTTCTACAGATGATGTAAGTTTTCAAGTTCAGAAGCTAGTTTATTGTCAACTTTTCCTGTCTTTTCAATGAACATGCAGGCTTATGTATTAAAACATTCATCCTAGCAACTGAATTTTTCTAAAATTTGTACCAACTTACACAGACTTTTCTAAACAAAGAAATGCAAGAGAATCTTAATCCAAAAGGGATTAAACGTGGTATTATTCTTGATGCTGGAAATGAATGATGTGTCAGGGAGGAACAGAACATGGAGAGGGAGGCAAATCAGAAAATGATACTTAAAAAGAGCTAAAATTCTCCTGTGAGTAAGGTCAGGGCAAGATTTCCAAGGAATTTTTGCTTTTTTGTATTTAAGAAATCACTAATGCCTCTGTACACTTTCTTATGTATTTTATAGTTGAAGTATTTGAAACAAACGTGGTAGAATCACCTAATGGATTTACATTCTGAAAGTAGTGTTGTCCTCCAGTCAAGCAGCCTGGAGACAGGTCTTGATACCATAGCATGTGGCTGAAAAGGATTGCTGGCTTGTTGACACATCTGTGAAAAGACAGTACATTCCTGGTTTGTATTCAGTTCTTTGATGTTTTTTAGGAAACTTTTGGCAAGAACTTTTCTACAGGAGCATGCCAAGATTGTGAACAAAATGATGCAGACAATGGAAGTACTATGTCTACATCTTCAAATTTTGAACCCTTTGCCACTGATGACCTTGGTAAGAATGATGTGAATTACAATGTTGTTCTACTCCCTTCTTCCCTCTTAAAATGCCTGCCATTGTCTGCTCTTAAATAGTATACTATTCTTTGATTTTTAGTGTGTAACTACGTGTTTTTGTAAACAGAGAAATTAGCCACTTGTGAAACAACTTGCATTGATGAAAGAGCGTAACAGATTATAACTTAATGATAGTTATACGTAGATTTCAAAATTTGGGGCTTTGAATTGATTTTTATAATTGTTTACTTGTCTATCAATTAAAAACTTTTTATTTAGATTAAAAGGTGTTTTTATTTTAAATATAGGCGACACAGTGATTCACTTAGATCAAGCTTTGGCTAGGATGAGGGAATATGAGCGTATGAAAATTGAAGCTGAAAGTACCCTTGACTCTGAGGGCTGCTCTAGTAATTTTCAGGGTGCTTCTGCTGCTAAATTAGAAGGTATGCACATATATATATTTTGCTTAGTTTTAGAAAATAATTATTCTAAATATCAAGAATTCTTTAATTGGCTAACTTGCATTCTTCTTCATTTATATTGAAAATTTAGCAAAGTTTCAAAGGATACTTAAGTAAATACGATTTATTTTTTAAGAAGGAAAATACATGGTTTTGAAATTGGCACTTACTTAATAGTAATGTTGAATGACTTAAATGTGCAATTTTTTTATTGAGGTCCAAGTGCCAGTGAAGGTCTTCCTGTGCCACAGCCAAGTGAAGTTTCTGCTGTTCCATGTCCTCGTATAGATACTCAGCAGCTTGACCGGCAGATTAAAGCAATCATGAAGGAGGTCATTCCTTTTCTAAAGGTAAGAACTCTTTTCAGTAATACGTGAATTAAGAGAAAGACCTGTATAATTTCATAAAAGAGCATTATTTGAAATTGATAACTTGCATCTCAGCAACAGCTACCAACAAATATATGTTAAGTTGCGTTCTTGCTGAGGATGAAGTAAGGATTAAATGCTCTGACAAAAAGATTCTATGAATATTTTCATGGGAGAAAAAAATGGTTAGGTTTCTAGATTGCATAGGGCTGGTGGACTTGACATGAAGAATAGAGTTGTCTTTGGAGCTGACCAAATCAGATAGACAGACATGTTTGAGAATGTACTTCTGAAATATTCGCTGCCTTTTAGCAAAGAGAACTGAGATAATTTTAATTAAAACTGTTACATACAATGTAACTTAATCTTTTAGCTCTGAGTTTTGGCATATTTTCTTCTGTTTACAAATACCTTTAAAATTGTTAAGAGCTTATAAACGTCAGTGAGTACAGAGGAGAAACGTACTACTGAAGGAGAAATAGTCACAGTTGATTTTTGCAAGGTTAAAGAGTTGAGAAGTTTGAGTTGTGAGATGCTTAAGTAAACTCCCTGTTACCTTTTATAGTTTGCACAATATATAAACTTAGATTTGTTTAATAGTTTACTTGGTTGATACTGATTTGAAAAACTGTGTATATTGTTCACATGCCAGAGTCTCGGTGCCTGAAGACTTCCATTTTGTTTGCAGTTTTAGGGGAGTTTACAACAGTAGATACCTTAAGATAAACTTTGGTACACTTAAGTACACAACCACAATATATGAAGATTCTTGGTTTGTCCAGATATTAAAAGATGGCATGTACTAATGTATTGGAAAAGTGAGATAAAGCTTTTTGTGTCTTTGCCAATCAGTCATTAATGAAGTATGGTATCTGCTATAACTGTGTTCCAGTTAGTTTGTGTTGCGAGGTGGGTTAGGACCTCTTCATGAAGTGCTGTTCCTTCAGTAGACAGGTGATTTTAAAATTTATTTTAGAAATTAATTTCAGTATTTGAGTTGATAGCAATTTTGTTTAAGTGGTAACTAAGCTCACTCTGTGATACTTGTTTAGGAACACATGGATGAAGTGTGCTCTTCTCAATTATTGACATCAGTAAGACGTATGGTCTTGACTCTTACACAACAAAATGATGAAAGTAAAGAATTTGTGAAGTTCTTTCATAAGCAGCTTGGCAGTATACTTCAGGTTAGTAGTTTGTCAGTGAAGTTCTGCAACACTATTGCAACTTGAGCAACGGATAAACCAGTGATATTGTCCAACTTCAGTAGCATAGCTGCTATTGTCCTCCAGCTTTGATACAGCAATGAGGTATTACCCTGTTTCCTAAAATTAAAGCTTTACCATGCACAGAACTTTTTCATCACTGCCAGATAGAGAGAGGTGTATATCCTGCCTGTGGCTGTCTTCAAGGGGAGTTCTGGTGATGATCTTCATGGACGTTTTGTATAAATTCTTGAAAATAAATAGGCTGCTCTTTTCTTTGTGGTTTTTTTGTTTTTTTAATATCTTATTTGTTTTTCTTTCCTACACGTATAGACTTAAATCAGTAACTTTGTAAGTTCTGTGCTATGTGATTAAAGATTCTACTTAAGATCTGTGTAAGCTGCTAAAACATGTTTAAAAAAACACAAGCTATTGTATAACTACCTTATTTTGAGTTATTGGGAAGATTGCAAATACTTAATCTTTGAAGTTTGAAAGCCTGTTTCAAAAACTGAAGTATTCTTTCTCTTCACAGGACTCACTGGCAAAATTTGCTGGTAGAAAATTAAAAGATTGTGGAGAGGATCTTCTTGTGGAGATCTCTGAAGTGTTGTTTAATGAATTAGCCTTTTTTAAACTCATGCAAGACTTGGACAACAACAGTATTTCTGTAAAACAGAGATGTAAAAGAAAAATAGAAACTACTGAAGTAATACAGTCTTATGCTAAAGAGGTTTGGTTTATTTTTTTTCAAAATGTAGCTTTTCTGAGTTTCCTAAATATCTCTATTTCTTAAACCGCTTTGATTACCTTAGTTCATAGGTTATTTGTATATTTTTTTACAAATGAGGTCTGTATAGTCACAGAATTGCATGTGTAGAAGCTTGAACTAGTTCTCCTCAGTGAGAGAGGTGTCCTGTATTGCAAGTAAGTGTCAGTTATGGGTATCTAATTCTGTAGACTCTGTTGTTGGTAACTCAGAAAATGTGTTTCAATGGTTATATGTGCACGTAGGAAGAAATAGTCACGTGTTGAAAAGTATTGTCAAGTGGGGCCATTGAGTAGTTGTGGTTTAACTCCAGTAGGCAGCTAAGCCCCACACAGCCACTTTCTCACTGCCTGCCCCCAGAGGGATAGAGGAATAGAGAGAATCAGAAGGGTAAAAGTGAGAAAACTCATGGGTTGAGATAAAGAAACTTCAACAGGCAAAGCAAAAGCTGTGTATGCAAGCAAGGCAAAACAAGGAATTCTCTCACTATTTCCCATTGGCAGGGCGATGTTTAGCCATCTCCTGGAAAGCAGAGCTCCATCATGTGTGTCATGGTTACTTGGGAAGACAAAGGCCTATATATATATCTGAGCTAAATATTTTGACATATGGGTGTCTCAGTTCATGGTCTCTCCAGTTATGCCTACAGCTTTCTTTGCAGTAGCTTAGTCAGGTGCCATCTTTACCTAACTTGAGTAAGTCCTACAAAATCATCAAATAGTTGGCTTGTTCCCAAATGTAGAAAGTATCACTTTCTAGACTTGAGTGTAAAAATTATATAGATGTTTCAAAAATATTTCAGACTATAGTACTTATTCTACTCTAACAAAAGTTTGGAGTGTTTTTTGCACCATTTAGATTATTAAAGGTATTGCATTCCTATTTTTAATTTCAGTATTACAGTTTTTAGGAACATAGCTTTTTTAGTTCTATGAACTGTTTGCAAAACAAACAGTAGAACAGATGATGTTTGTATGCTTACATTGGTCAGGTATCTGCCTCAATGTTTCTTCTTGCATAGTATGATTATGACGTCATTGTCCTTCCCGCTTTCTTCTAGAAACACAAATACCAAAGCAAACCCTTAACTTATTTAAAATACCAACGGAAATGTTTTGTGAATCTGTCAAAGTCCTATAAGTAGTCTTAAGTGTATCATCAGCTACATTTCAAGGTAGTTCAACTTGGATATACCAGTAATAAGGCTAGTGTGAGAGAGACTGCAGAGTGCCTTGTAAAGAGGCCAAAGAAACACTGAATCCAGAAGGATTTGGACACTACTTCCTGTTTTATCTGGAGTTACTCATTTGGTCTTTGCTACATAAACTGTTGGTTTATACACTGCTATAAGAATGCATGGAGCCAACTTAGATCTGGGGTTTCTTTTCCTCTCCTTGAAGACGGAGAAGTAAGAGTTAAGGTCAATGTTTCCCCTGTTGCTGTGGCAGCAGTTCAGATCCAACAGAGCCAGAGATAGGCTGGAACTGATAGGTCCTGGTTGCTTTGTACAGACCTGCACAATTATGTCGTGGTCTTCTCACAGCTTTCAGGTCTGGGATCCTGATCCAGACACATCTGATCTTGCTTGATTTTTGTCTGTCTTGAGTCCACTAAGCTGACTGGTTTTAGATTCCACACTGAAAAACACAGCTCTCTGTGTCTTGACGGCAGCTGGTATATATAATTTTAAATGCTAAATGTGATTTAACCACAGACTGGAGAATTAGCATTCTAACACCATTGCCTAATTAAAGAGGGCTAGCACAGTTTTTGTAATATTTTGCAACTCTAAAATTTTGAAGACATCTGTGTAACCATCTCTTGTAGTATAGAAGTCCCTGTGGCTTATTGCCATTTTGAGGTAGCAACTGTTGGTAGGATTGGCATTTCAGCCAGGCATTCATGAAGCCTTAGTTTGATTCAGTATTTCAAAGTTATTTCAGTTTAGAATTGAAGACAGTTTATGTTTCTTCTAGGCAAAAAAAGGTCTCCAGGTGGATGTTTGTTCATCTGCTGAAGATGTCGATGAGGACAAAGTATGTTTATGCTTCTCAACTGTTTATTTCTCAGATAATTTCACAGATCACTTAGGCTTACTGTTTTTTGTCATACAAATCCAGCATCTGTAAGCAGCTCATTTCCTAGTGTTTATAAATCTAGTAAACATCATGGGTTTTATTGCCTTTCTGTTATTTTCAGTGATTTACTTTATAATTTACTTTCATAATTTCCCTTTTTTTAATTTGAGTTGACAGTCTAGAAAATTACTACCAAGAAAACCTGCCTTCATCAGTGTCTTTGTTATTCTATGCGTTCAGTAAGCATGACTTGGATACCAGTTCCTTGGTTGCTCTTGGTTTTACTCCTGTTTCTACTTTTAGAGCCATTACCAGTGTAAAAACTGTTCGTTTCATTTGTTATAAAACATTATCTTGTACCTTTCAGAAAGCGCACTCAGATCAACAAAGATAGTATTAAAATGCTTTTTAATTTATTGTCGATGACCTTTGTGTTGAAAGAGCTTTGCTTTAGGACTGACAGTTTGAAAGCCTAAAATGCAAAGTTTGTGTTGACTGCTATACAACTGAAATGGAATAATTTGTGATACTTGCTGAGCAGCTTTTAGGGTAAGATCTTGGTTTTCCTTTTAGTATTAATTTTCTATATTTTAAAGAAAAAAGAAAAGACCTGTTCCAAGCATGTTTACTGTAGGATTTGGTCTGGGGCTGTTGCCTGTATTCTCAGCTCAGAGCATTGAGAGTGGAGTTATTCCTTGAAGAATTAAATAACAATAGAGTAAATAACAGTAAATAGAGACGGTGTTTAGTTATTTTTGACAATTAGCATTTTTAATGATATGGAATAAGTTGTGCTTTTCATTTTAAGGAGAAGGCACATGTTCTGAGATGGGACAAATGGAACTTGAAGTCCTCAGAGTCAAAGTATGTGTGTGCTCTGAGTATTAAACATTAAGGCCCTAAATGTCTCCCTTCTCGCTTTGTTTTGAAAACCACTAAAAAAAACCGACTGTGTTTAGGGAAAGGGGTTGTATGTGAAATTTTGGATTTTGTGCTGAAATGCTCAGCTTTTTCCAACCAAGGGGAAGATCTAGGTGATGTACTGAGTAGAATGTTGAATGCTTTCCTAAATGGGCATAGACATATATAGAGGCATGTATGGACATAGGATCAGTGCTTTCTTCTAGGGCTTAGCGCTTCTGTCACGCTGCTTTGAAAGTGAGAGTGGGAATCTGTATATCACTTCTTACGGTCACTGTAGTCTAGAAGAGTCCTTTCAAAATTTAGAGCCAAACTCGTGGCTTTACTTGGAGTTTGTATAGACAGAGCAGAATTCTCTCTCTCAAGTGGCCTTGAAAATCATTCAGTAGAGAAAATGCTGAGTAACTATTGCCAAAGAAGCAAGAAGCGACAGTAAGGAACTTTCCTCATTTTGACTAGAGGTCATTTAGGAGAGTTAAGGAAGTCAGTAGGAGGTAAAAATGCAAGTGTGTCTGTCTTCCTTGTGATATTGACAAATCTAATTTATTTAAATCTTTAAGCTAACATGCTGATCTGTGTGAACCTTTTCCGTTAATGAAATACTCAGTTACGATGTCCTTGATAGCTGTGTCGGAACAGTGCGTACTCTTTTAGAGTAGATTTTGATGCTCTGTTTCAGGAGTAGCTTCGCAGTATTTATTTCTGGGCCTTAAAGTCTTCTTAAACATTAGGTTTTAGTCTGTAGCTCTTTGAATTTTGAAAAACAAAAAGGTGACTCCTTGATGCAGAAACCATAACTTTTTTTTTTTTGTTTCTCCTAGGACAAGGATGAGACTGAAACTGTTAAACCAGCACAGGACTCAGAAATGTATGATGGTAGTAGAGTTCCTGAAAGTATTAGGTCAGATGCATCTGATCAAGAGGAAGATGAGGAAAGTGAAAACGGTCCAGTGGCAATAAGTAAGTGATTTTTGTAGTTCATTATTCAATGCTTTCAGTGTAGTTTTGACCAACTAATTTTACAACAGGATTTGTGTGAAGTACTGCTGTGTAATGCCTTCCCTCACAGATTTTCTAGTGAGGTCTCTTCCAGTGAAAGTTTTCCAGTACTCTATTTACTGCTGATGTCAAGGGTGTTAAACATTCCAATTTAGAGGAGCATTCGTTCTTAGTAATCAGTAGATCTGTGGAAGCACATGTTGAATTCAGATTCATTGTTTAAGTTACATATCCTGTCTCAGCTAAACTTGAAGTTTCTCAAACTTTAACCTGAAGGATGTAAAAGCTGCTGAAATGTTTTGCAGTTTTGCATTTAAATGATGATTTTTGAATATGCTTCTCCTAAAGCTTGCATATTTGTTGTCCTGTTTGTCATCTTATACCAACTGCTCATCGCCTGGTTTCCCTTATACTTAAATTCTTCACACCAACTTGTTTCAGTAACTTACATATTTTGCACCAACATAGTGGTGTTTGTTGGCAATACAGTTTATGTAGAGCATATGGATCTTTGAAAATAAGTCATCACTGTATCTTAATTTCAAATAATGTTTTGAATTATGAGTTACAAGTGGTCGTTGCAGTAAATTCCCAAAAAAGATTTGTGTTTTGCGGCCTGACTTCTACTCTGTCAGGCTCTGTCAGTATGTAAATCCAACATGAAGGTGGTTTTACACTGTTTTGCTTTCAGGTTTATCAAAAGCAGAAACGCAGGCTCTGACTAACTATGGCAGTGGAGAAGATGAGAATGAAGATGAAGAAATAGAATTTGAGGAAGGACCTGTTGATGTGCAGACATCACTACAAGCCAGCAGTGAAACAACAACTGAAAACGAACAGGTATCACCAAAGTTGTGAATGCAGAACAAACCAAGCCAATGCATAGCTTTTCAGACAAATACTTGCATAAAACATTTCATTTTTTTCTTGTACTGCTTTCATGCTAATGAAAGTAGAAGAAAGATTCAAGAACTTACATGAAAGCAATAGCTGCTACATAAAAAATATCTACCACTCATTCACCACCTGAATATATTTTTGGTATTGCTGATGCCAAAATGGGTGGATGAACACACACAAAACTAATGTTTAAATCTATCAGAAAGAGAAAATGTTAATCTGGAGTAGAAAACAACTTTCAAAAAAGCAGCAAGTTTTAAACCGTTACCTGGTTCTTTCAGTGTGTTTGCTAACAAGAAGTTCTAGCTGGGCTTTCTGTTGCAGAAGCCATTGACTCTTGTTTTCTAGCATGTCTTTGATTTGTCTTTCCTCTTCATCACGTAATACATTTTTCTAGAACAACAGTGAAATGTTACTAGCTTCTATTGTGATTTCACTGTTAGTTTCCTTAAAAACATTTGTATGTGTGTGGCCTGGTTCTGGAGACTTGTTAATTCTTTACATTTCTGTAAATAAGATTGACTTCCGAGTCTTTTTAAACTTTGGTTTACTCAACAGCTGCTAACATTTAGGCAAGGATGCAACTGGAACATCTTGCTTTAAAGGCTAAAACAACAGATCTTTTCAGTGGAACTAGAGAGTTTACCTGGAAACTACTATAGTAAAAATAAAATGAAATGCTTAGATAAAACATACGCATCAGTGTTAATAGTTTCTGAAAGTGTGGTTAACCAGCTGATGAATAGAGTGTAGAATATGCTAGCTTTATTTCAAAGTAGTTAAAAACAAAAGTGCAAAGCAAGTGTATAGCGTTTCTAGTTAGCAAGGAAGAGTAAATGAGCCAATAACATATGAAGCTGATTAGTAGAATGTGTTTTAACTTGTTTTCACCTTCCCCAATAGACTTTGAACCAAGAATTGAATAAGACAAAAAGCAGTGAGATTTTGTCATCAGAACAAGAATCTGTTAATGTTAAAGGTAAGCCCAGTATGCAGTATCTGAAGAGATTAACACTTCTATATGAATTTGCATATTGTAAGAATTATCTTGGATAGTGCCTGTGATATATGTAATTAATAGGAAGGACATCACTTTTGCAAGAGTTTCCTGGGCTGTTTGGTTGGGTTTTTTTCATCAAACTGTATTCATTGACTAGATGTATCTGTGTTGATACACACACAGCAGACCTTTCAAAGAGGAAGCCTGGAATAATCTTAGGTAGGTTGGTGTGGTTTTGATGCTTGTGTGAATTTCAGTTGATTGTTGCAGCCTTTGGCACACAACTGTAGCAGAGTTAGCTTGTCTGTTACAATATTTTGATCTTTAGATTTGTCTAGTACTTGCCTTTTCCACTACTACCATTTACTAGCAGTTGAAATAACTTTAAAATATAAAGACTTATTTCTGTGAGTAATGCTGTGTCGTAACTGATTAAGAACCAAGAAATCATTTTTTTTGTCAAAAGACAGAAACACTACCAGTTAGTATGAATGTTTCTTATAATCTTAGTGTTTCTTGGGGGTCTTTGTTAAAATTGCTGGTTTTGTTCTTGGTCTTTTTTTGTAGACTAAAAGCAGTATTTGAACAGATCCTCTGTTGCCCCAAGAATGTGTCAAAATGTTAAGGAATTAATATTTTTCAGTAGGTTGTATAGTTCTGGAAGTTAGTTTTTGGTTGGTTTGGGTTTTTTGGATTTGTTTGTTTTTGTTTTTTTAAAAGCCATATCAAGTAAAATTTTTAAGTTTAGGTCTTAAGATACTGTCTTATGATAGTTGCTGATACTTCAGTATGTGAGAGTACAAGTAACTGATGTTTTATTTCAATCAGGCAGATTCACATCCACTGCTTATTTGTAGCTTTGAAGAATAATGTGTTAAAAAAAAAAATCTGGGATTTTTGTATGTTCATTTTATACCTGGTTTATTTTCTCTAGTTAAAATGTAGTTTTGTGGTTTTAGGTGAACAAGATCTGGCCACAATTTTGCCTCATTGCCTCAATGTCATGGAGAATACACCAACTTTAACAGTCAATACCCCAGAGTCCTTTATAACAGCCAGTATGAAAACAGAAGAATCAAACTCATCTTTACAAGTGGATGAAACTCAAACACTAGATACAACATGTGTAGGAAACAAATCATCTGCTGCAAGTTCGGAAAGCTCCATGGCTGGCAGCCCTGATACAGAGTCACCTGTGTTAGTGAATGAATATGTGCGTATATTTCAGTTAAGATACATGCAAGAGAAAATAGAATCTTTTTTCTGTTTCATTGTTATTTATTGTTTTCATCTGCAGATTTGATATGGTCATTGTTTTGTGATGTACTTTGTACTTTATTATTATAATAATCAAAAATCTAATTTGGAGTGAAAATAAAACAAAGTAGCGCTATTCTCTTAACTGTCACTGGTTTTATTAACAGGAAGCTGGTTCTGGAAATGTAAGCCAAAAATCTGATGAAGATGACTTTGTGAAAGTTGAAGACTTGCCCCTCAAACTTGCAGTGTATTCAGAGGTATTTTGCTGTTGTTTGTGGAGTTGTGTAGAAGTGCACACCCTAAACATTTAAATGATCTAGACTGCAATAAGAATTACCCAGAATTTTGAGTTTTGCTTTATCTGTTACACAGGCAGAATTAATGAAGAAAATAGCAACAGAAGCCCAAACCAACAGTTTGTCTGATGAATTATTGGATGGAGGTAGAGCTCAAGATCAAGAATTAGTAGGAGATGCCCAAACTCTGAAAGAACCTGGTAAAGATTATTTTCTAAATCCTCTGCACCTATTGGGAAAACACTCTGGGATGGCCAGAATCTAAATATCTTCTTATCACTGATTGAAGTAAGCTGTTATTGTGGGTACTGAAAGAATATCCTGGTTTTTGTTATTGTGCATTTGAAAATTATACATTGATATGAAAGAATTTTGCCTTCCATGTCCCTTCTATATACTTTTGTTAGATGCTGTGGCTAATAAAGTAATAAGAATTAACATATTTAAAATGCATGTTACAACTTAATGGTTTTAAAACTTACTAAAATGGAATAGTATTTTTGTTTCTTGTTACACAGGCTTGGGTTTAATAATACTGTTAACCATAATTGCTGTTATCTGATTTAATAATGCTCAATATCATTTGCTGACAGACTGCTCGGTATTTTTGTAGTAGAAAGCTTCAAAAGACTTTTCAGAATATTAAAGTATCTCTTCAGGGAAAAGAAAATTATTTTTATATGAATCATACTATGAGCTAGAAAAAGCTTTGTGCGTATGATTCACCGCTTTCATGAAACAGTATTTATGCAGCTACAAAAACTTAATGGTAATGCAGGTCAAAGCAGCTTAATTTTTTTAATATGTTGATATTGTGACACAAGTGGGTTTTTTTGTGGGTTTTTTTTGTTGTTTTTTGTTTTGTTTTGTTTTTTTAATACGGCTGTAGTGACAGCATAGGATTTTTCAGAATAGAGTATGAAGGAAGGTGCAACCCATTCACTGCCCATTCCCATTCTGCTTGTCATGGCTATGTGAGCAGAAGTCTGTCCTATCAGTTTGGTGAATACTGCTGCATGTGCCTGGTGTGGGAACAGTCTGGCTAATAATGCCACGCCACGCCGCGCCACACGATATCACAGGTAGCAACTAAGCCATTCTTCATCTGTATATGGGCAATGGCTGCAGCTATTCAAGTAAGCTGTGGCTGAAGATGCTTGTGGAAAAAAAGGCGAGGATTAAATATTTCATTGAGGTGCTTTAATGGGTATTTACAAGTTGAAATGTGATCAAGAGCTGTGTTTTGATGCCTTGTAGCTATTAGTCAATAATGAGTATACTCTTATTTTACAGAAACTTTTGGAGCTCAAAGTGCATGAGAATGACCTGAAGATATCTGCTTTTATAAACACCGTTTATACAAATGCATATGGAAGATCAGCACTAAATTCCCAGAATTCTGGAAGTGTATAAATATGTAAAATTTTTTACACGCTGCCTCTTAGGATAGATACGCTAACTTCTGCCTGTGGCAGTTTGAACAGCTGGAACTGAATCCTCTTCTATTCAGTTTTGCTGCACTGTTCTTTTTCTGTCTTAATCTTTTTTATTTTTTATTGTGACTTGTTTAGTAATTTTAAAGTTGTTCAAAATGGTAGTTTTAATAAAGTTTGGACTTGTCTGTAAATTCGTCTTTGGAAAAAGATTTCCTCTGGTTTACAAAGTGGTATGCAGAGGTTGTTGGAAGTTCACTGACTTAAGTATCAGCGTGTTTGTAGCTGTTTGTTACTCCTCTTTGGAGAAACACTCATTTTCCTGAGAAAGAGACTTGTCCCACTAAGTTTCTCCAACTTCCACGAATATGAGGTGTAGACACAGTACATATCTACATCTTGCCTTTATAGCCTACGTTTAGCTGGTCTGTTGAAAAAACAATTGTTCCTGTTCTATCAGCACATTATCTGAGCTGAAGTTAAAACCCTGTTAATACCATGTGTTTTTCTGCATTTTCTGTTTTGCACTTTCAGTAGGCGAACAGATAAGCCTGGCTGAAAATTTTAGTATCATCTCACATGTAACACTAAAAAGTGCTGCAGTTGGAAGCCTGTAGAATTTGTTCCTGAAGTGTTTGACTTTAAAAGGGTTTTCATGTAGAAAGGAAGAAATTTAGCAAATTACAATTGAAGTTAATGTTTATAAAAACACTTAAAGCTAGCACCTAATGAAGCCTCATGGCAAAAATGAAATTAGGATTATAGAAAAGCAGATTGGAAAACTTGAACCAGTACAAAAATTTTCTTGACTTTTTAAGATTGGAGTTGCTAGTAACAGTATGTCATAAAACTGAGCTAGAAATGTTGAATAAGCTATGCCTGCTGCGTTACAGATGTCCTGCTTACCTTAAACAACTACAGTGCTTTTCTCATAGTAGTTAAAAAGCAATGGTCATCTTTAATTCAGGGTTATCTTCCTTTTGAGGTTAATGTAATAATGTGGCTATATGCTGTGGGAGACAGTCTAGTGACAGTGAAGCCTAAATATGCCTGAAGTTTGAATAAAATGAGTGATTCTTCTGTGATTTCTTTTCTTAGTTTGGTTGTTTTGAGTGTTTCCAAGTTTAAGTGACTTTTGAAATGGCAGATGATAATCACATGCCTCTCCTCTCCAGAGACAAAAGTATATCAAAAGGTTTGAAGACAGCTTAGTTACTGTACAGGCTTTAAATTTTAGTGATACTCTATGCAGGAAGAAAAACTTTACAATTTGTAACATAGGCAAATCTGTGAAAGTTAAACAAAATTAAAGTTTTTAATCACTAACTTGGCACAAGAATCATTTAGTAGACCTCAACAAGGACATTTTCATTAAGTAGAACATGAAGATTTGTGCATATTTAAGACAAATCTAGTTTATATGGTAAATTGTGAAACTCTAAGCTCAAGACATAACATGAGCATATACAGTTCCTGAATTCTTGCCTTGGAGAGGTGTGTATGAACAATGCCCTGAAATGCTATTTCTTTGTTCATACTTTCTCTCTACCCTTTCTTCACAGAATGGTTGAGGTTGTCAGGGACACCTCTGGGGGTCATCCAGTCACAGAATCACAGAATATTAGGAGCTGGAAGGGACCTCAAAAGATCATCCAGTCCAACCCCCCTGCCAGAGCAGGATCACCTAGACCAGGTTGCACAGGAACACACCCAGGAGGGTCTTGAATGTCTCCAGAGGAAGAGACTCCACAACCTCTCTGGGCAGCCTGTTCCAGCGCTCTGTCACCCTTATAGTAAAGAAGCTTTTCCTCATGTTCAGATTGAACCTCCTATGCTCCAGCTTGCTCCCATTGCCCCTTGTCCTATCATTTGACATCACAGAGAAGAGCCTGGCTCCTTCCTCCTGACACTCGCCCTTTACAAATTTATAAACATGAATGAGGTCACCCCTCAGTCTCCTCTTCTCCAAGCTAAAGAGACCCAGCTCCCTCTGCCGCTCCGCATAAGGGAGATGCTCCACTCCCTTAATCATCTTTGTAGCCCTATGCTGGACTCTATCCATCAATTCCCTGTCCTTCTTGAACTGAGGGGCCCAGAACTGAACACAATAGTCCAAATGCGGTCTCACCAGGGCAGAGTAGAGGGGAAGGAGAACCTCTCTCGACCTACTAACCAGTCTCCCTCCTGATACACCCCGGGATGCCATTGGCCTTCTTGGCCACAAGGGCACATTGGGGTGTCCAACCCCCTGCTCAAGCAGGGCCCCTCAGAGCTGGCTGCCTAGGACTATGCCCAGGTGCTTTTATGTATCTCCAAGGTGGGAAACTCTACAATGTACCTGAGTAACCTGTGCCAGTACTCAGTCACCCTCACCATAAAAAAGTGTTTCCTTACATTTAGAGGGAACCTCCTGTGTGTTTAGGTAATGAATACTGAAAATAGACAATAAGGGCACAAAACAGTAGAACTGCTGAAGTTAAGCTTTTATATTCTGATGTCAGTCCTACTCTTTTGTAGTTCAGTTCAAGCAGAATGTGGTTTTTTTCAGTGATGTCAGAGAAGATATTGCTTAAAAAGATTACAGGAGAGCATGTGAATGGGTTATGAGAAGCAGAGTCTTCTGCTTGATACGTTGCTTGCTACCTTACCAGCCTGGACCAAAGTGAATGTTATATTTCACTGTCCAGTATCCATTGCACAGTTCTTCACTTCAGAGACAGTTCTGTGGAACAATGAGTGCAAAGAATTCAGGCAATTATTTCAAGATTAAAGTTAAGAGGCCAGAGCTGCTGCTTCTGTAGGTAACACAATTTAGTAACAGGCCTTCCCTTAGAGGGAGGTTGCTGTATAATACCTCTCTGTTACTGTTGTGTAGTGAATGACCTAACAAAACCATAGAATGCACCAAATCATGTAGGACTCTGACTCATTTTTACCACTGGAAGTATCTGCAACTTCTAGGAGAGAGCTGGAATAACTGATTTCTTACAATAGATTGCAACATTGCCTTTGAAACTTTATTTTAATCAGATCCCATTGTCTCCCGAAATCATTCATGTTCCAAAACTAATTACAGGATTCAAATTCTAAGCATTAACACAACAGAAAACCCATAGCAACTTTGGGTTGCTTTAGTTGCAATGCTGTTACTTTGAACTGCAGTTTCCTACTACAGGATTGCCGTCTTGCATAACAGCAAGGAATTCAAACAAAACCCTTTACTGGTAAACTTTGAAGAACACAAACTTTGAAGAACTATTTAACTATCTTATTTCAAAAGAAGCCTTCACCCATTCTGTACAAGTTCACATATTCATACAGTAGCATTTATTCAAAGAAAGACTGGAACATTTCTTGTCCTACTTTTATATAAGCCTCTCTCTCTTCATTTGTCATGAGAGACACAAGCTCAAGATTTTCACTGACTTCACCATATGACCGAGGCTGACCAGCTACCATCAAAATAGGACCTTCTATTTCGTCTTCCTTCTCTTGCTCAAGGTTGCTGACTTCTACTTTTGTTCCTGTTCTTGGATGCTTGGCATCTTCTTCGCTGGTATCGCTGACTGACTCGGGTAGTTTGCTTTTGACAACAGGAACCTGGTCTGTGCTAGACAGTAACTTGGACTCACACATCAGAAGAGTTTTGATGGTATCATTGTCAGTGACAATTTCTTTAACTTTTTCTTCTGAAGCATGTACTCCTAACACAAAATACCAGGTGTTAGAGGTATCAGTACTTCACAGCTATCACAGGCATCATATCTCACATACACAGTTTTTTTCTACTCTGGATCTTTTTTACCCACACTTTATAACTAATGTCTTCAAAGTGCAGATGTTTTCAAGAGCTTTCCACTTTGAGGACTACTACTACTGTTACTGCACAGTTAGAGCCAAATATTTCAGGACCTGGTACCGGACCTGATACCTGACCTCTGGCTTTAGGACTATTACCTAAATCAGCCCAAAGACATTTTTAAAAACTAAGATCTGATAGCCACTAGTGCAGAATTGAAGCATTACTCTGTATTCTAAACCAAGCCCACTACGCTTAAAATAGGAAAGCTATATTTAAATACAGTAAGGCTGCTGAATTTACTGTCTGCCAATGAATGCTTCAAACATACCAACACTGTTGTCGGTGGCTGTTGGTGCTCCTTCCACAGTGCTCTGTGACATCCAGATAGGTTGCTCTTTAGTTGCTTTTTCACTTGTTTTCTTTTTGGGTTCAGAGTCTTGTACATCAATAACTAAGTTTTCGGTGAACATATTGCCAAAGGAGGAACTTCTGCTGGCCCATTTTTCAGGTCGGCTGCAGGATTCCAGCACAGTCGAACCCACCTTCTGGTCAAAGCTGAATGAAATGTCACCCATTTTGGAGAGTTTAAATACAGGCAAGACCCCCTCCCCAGATTGCCCAGCCAAAAAAAAGGAAAAAAAAAAAACAAAAAACCAATTTTTGTCAGCACACTCTTTAATAATGCTCTATATTAAAACAATTTGCATTCCCTGTTAGCTCACCACAAAGGCAAGTGATTCTGAACCACTGGTTTTTGCAAGGTCTCTTCAGTAGTGCATCGCTGGATGAAGCACATCGATACAGAAACATTACTTTCTCACAGAAGGGCTACAAACATATCAGCCAAAGGATAAGTCTGTAAAATTACTCCTTAAAACAAAAAAGATAGCAAAAATAAAACTATAAATGTGTAACAATAATTTAGAATGCCTTAGATATTCCAGGCTTCTTCATTAAGCAGCTGACAGTACCGAACAAAGCTAAATAAAGTAGGAAGTAGGTTGCAAGACCAGTATTTCAAGATTTTACAACTGGAAAATTGGTGGGGTTTTTTTTGGGAGGTGAGGGTGTATGGATCAGAAGTTCCAGGGTTATGCTTATACCTCTCTGATAATTCGGGTATTTCTGTTGGCTGAGGCTCCAGGAAGTCATGCGGCAGAACAACATCTTCAGCCTCACGCAGTAGCACAAAGATTGGTTCAATCTGCTCATTGAATTTTGCTAGCAAGGCTCGAGCATTGTGCTTAGGAAGCGCTGAGGCCTCTTCCTCTATTTCAGTGTTGCAGTAAGTGCAGCGGAAAGTGCCTGCAACATTATCCAAATTGGAAATTCTCATGTTCGTAGGATGCAAAAGATTAGTAATACTCTGTTAAGAAATCTGATCTAAAGTTCAAAAAGCCTTGTTCGGAGTCAAAGTATATGCTATAAAAGCCTACATTTGTCTTAAGCAAAATAAAAAAATTAAAGCATATTCTATTAAAATATAATCACCAGCCTCAATGTTTGCATTTCAGTAACTTGACAAAGTCCCTCCATTTAGAACAAAGGGGTGATTTTTGCTGACTGACAGTACACCAGCTTCACCTTTGATGTTTCAAGTCAGTCACACAGAGTGAAGTTCATTCTGCCTGGCTCTGGCATCTTTTCCCAGTACCATGACCCAGATGTTGACACAGAAGCTGCACTTAGAGTAATGTATTGCAACATGATGCCATTTTAACCCATTTTGAAAGAGTACTCTCTATTTAGTTTTTGATTTTAGAAAAGAGAAACCCACAAGCTCTGATGCCCGCTTCTGCTGTGGATATGTCGCCTTGCCCTGGGAGGAGCCTGAACTTCCCTATCTCCAGCACTGGAGTGACAGAGCACCTGTCCTCTGCTCTTGACCTGCAATACAGTAGGTGGCTACAAACAGTTTTATCATCTTGTCCAACTCTTTCATTAGAAGAATTGAACACACAAATAAATTAACTAACGAGTTCAAAATGGAGTTAAAATAATACTGTATTGTCATTTCCATATGAGGAAGTGGGACTCACAAGACTGGGATGAGTAATCTTAAATCAGGCTAAGCATCTTGTTCCTAGCAAAGCTGAGGCCTGAAACATGATTTACAGCCCCAGCTCATGTATTCAAGAGTCTTCCTCTTGCTTGGCCTGTTCTACACAGACAGCTTTTTCTCTTATCCTCATCTCCCAGCTTCTCTTGTCATGGGCCCTTGTCCACCAGCAGACAGGAAGCATATCCTAACAAACATGCTTTTATTGCAATTTTGTAAATTTTGTGCTAGCAAAGTTATTAAGATAAAAGCAAATAAGCAATATAAGCAGGATACCTGTAAATACATCAAAGAGCTGCTTGACTTCCAGGTCTGTGTAAATGCTGAAGCAAGATGGGCATTTAAAAGAGCACCTGATCGTTGAATCCTGCTCATCTGCCTCTATCTTCCGGCGGATGTGATCCAGTTTATATTTCACCACATCCACCAGCACCTTGTAATTGATGTAATAGTAGTTGTGCCTGGTGCTTTTCCCGTTAGGCCCTGTTTCAACTCGCATGCGCAGCTTCACAAGCTTCTCTGCCTTGAGTGTGTTGAGGACAGCACGCAGTTGTTTACGGTCATACTTGAGCAACTGTAACAAGTCATCCTCTTTCACGCAGGGGTAGCGGATCAGCATATCAAGGGTCAGGGAGTGCTCTACCCCATAGAAACCACACACTATATATTTGGCTAGGTGCTTTAGGGCTGCTGGGACCTCTGTGATAATGTTTTGTTCTTCCATCAGGAGCTGAACCACTGACAGGAAGAAAAGTCCTGTACAACAAACAGAAGGGAGGTGAGCTGCAGTGAACCTATCTTGGCACTCACAGGCAGGTACAAAGCAGGTCATTTGCTGTGCTGCACTTCTGCAAGAGTCTTCACTGAATAGATTAGTGTAAAATCCTTAACCTGCACCTAAGGAAGGTATTGATAGATATCAAAGCTTACCTAACCTACAAGTACAATGATTACACCTGAAATATTCATGTCCTCTTGTGTAAAAACCCACAGAAGATATCTAGGAAAACAGGTTACAGAAAGTTCATGTCAATCCTTTTTCCAGAGGACAGCACAGTTAACTTGCTTGTCTGGGTCTATCTGAAGTATCTGTTTCCATTCGCAGCCAGACATGTAAGAGCTGACGTGCACACTCTGCCTTCAAAAGTAAAGCACAAGACGCGAGCTAAGCAAGAAATCTTTAGCTTAATTAGTAACAATATGTGAAATTGATGAGACTATCTCCCTTACTGGCAAAGCCACAAGAGGTGTCTGAGCACTTTTTAGCTTGCTCTTTATGATTCTTCTACTGGCTGCTGTGTTCAAACAACAGCCTAGCAAAGCTTGGGCACAGGATGGTCCATCTTGTCTGGCACTGTCCTCACTCAGCACAGGCTGTCTGGGGCTATTCCCCCTTGTTCCACCACACTAAACCAGCAGGGGACAGTTGTGGCAGAACATTTTCCTCCTTAGTCCTCTTCTCCCCTGTAGAAATAGGGCTTCTGGCAATAACCAATTCCTAATCCCATTAACTAGAATTTAACTAATTTTAATCAGTCCACCTGTCCTGTTTCTTATTTGCAAGGAGCAGGAAAGGAAAAAAACAATGAGGTATATTTCAATAAAGCCACATCCTGATTCCCTTCTTTGAGGCATGTTAAAATCCTACAATAATATTTGTTACTGCAGCTTTTAGCCAGATTGCTTTGCAGAGAACCATGCAGTGTGCAGCAAAATAGTGCTGGTGTAGCTGCTGGATCAGAAGGTGGCGAGGTAGTGGCATGGTACAGCACAGCACATTGCCAGCACTCACACTGGCATCCACTGTTGAGAGGCACCTTGCTCAAGCCCAGGTGAATCATATTGTTACATAGAGCTTCCAGGTGACCTGCATCAGAAATCCTCGTTAAACAAGCAAAGTTTATTTGCAGTAGCTTAATAGTTGAACCATAATTAAATCTGTATCTCCCAGGGGAAGCATTACCTTTTGGTTAACCTACACCAAATGTAAACTTCCTGATCTGAGGCTCAAAATCCCAAAGGCAATAGCACCACACTGACCTAAATTTCCCACAGGAAGAGTGGGGCAATACTGGAATCTGTTGCCCAGGGAGGAGACTGAGTCTCTGCACTTCAACTGGACAAAAGCCTGAGCAGCCTGACCTGGGTTTCAGATTAGTTGTGCCATGAGCAAGGGTTGGACCAGATAGCTTCCAAGGGTTCTGTCTAACCTAAACTCTTCTGTTCTGAGCAGAGAGTTGAATTTAACCACAGTAAGGAGAAAAGCTTTGGGAATGCCAGTCAGCTCCTTGACAGTCCTCCTCAGACTGCAAGAACATTTCTATACTTTTTCACAAAAGCCTTGAAAAAGCAGCAATTTGAAGAACATTACAGTTTTACTCTTTTACTTCTCCTCTGCCCTCCTGCTCAAGAGAGGCTTAACTCCAGTGCACCCGACTGTCACGTGTTAGCAGGGCAGCACGGTTCATTGCGTGACTACACAACATTCCCCTCCGCAGGCAGGAAAGCACAGCACCTTGAGCTTGTGTTCAACCAGGTCTCCCAGAAGCTAAATCCTGTCCTTGCTGCCAGTCAAACCCTAGCAAGGGTACGACACACCATCTGTGTGCATGTGTGTGGAGGTGTCTGTGGTAGGACCGGGACATACTCTAGGAAAAAGTCAGGAACTGCTTCTTACTGAAAAGAGAATAGTAGTTTAATAAAATCTTTTTGACTGCAGTCCTGTCTCCACTGCTTCCCTAAATGGATGAGCTACCTCAAGTTGCCAGTGCATTTTCTGCCAGATAAAAACACACACAGACCTATTGGATAACAAGTTAGGGAGTACAGTGGCTGGCCTTGAGCCACTCAAACATGTTCATGCCCCAGCTGTGCTCAGCAGGCAATTTTCCTTTCCCTATAGAATCATAGAGTCATTTAGGTTGGAAAAACTCTTTAAGAACATTGAGTCCAACTGTAAACCTAGCACTGCCAAGTCCACCACTAAACCCTGTCCCTAAGCACCACATCCACACGTCTTTTAAATGCCTCCACGGATGGAGACTCAACCTCTCTGTTCTTTAAGCTGAATAGGCTTTTCCTCTGCAGTCATGGTAAGCATATGCAGAGGAGATGATCTATATATTGAGAATACCAGTGTGCAGGACAGCTCATGTTTACTGCTCTTGACCCAGGGCTATGGGCTGGATTCCCACATCTACTCTCCAGTGTTTATACTCAGCCGGAAGGAAGGATCGACAGTGTCCTCAGACAGCCCTAGCTCCAAAGATTAGGAGCATGGCTTTGAGTCTCCTGAGGCTCTGGAGAGCAGAGCTTCTTTGGTCAAGCAGCCCACAGAGGAGGCACTGCAGCCTCCAGTACATGCCCAAAGGAGAGCAGCCATCACATATTTCTGTAACCCAGTCCAGCCCCACTGAGGAGTGCCAAGTGCAGCCCCAGCATCTGGGTCAAATACAGTTCCTGTCACGTGCACTACTTTGGGCTAGCATCTCGGAAAGGACCGAGGTGCCCTCTGTGTGGATTAATGTCATATGAATGCCAGTTGGATTGTGGCACTATTAAAAAAAGAGCAAAAACCCTTCTGCACCTAGCCCTTGGCTAATGAGGGCAGAAGCCTGACACTTAAGGGACTTGTATTATGAGCAGGTCTCATGATTGCTTTTTCTTATCCTACATCAACTGCAGAATGAAATAATTTCAAAGGGAGTGTGATAAGTAGGCAACATCATTAAGAAAGAAGTAGGACCTGAACTGTAAGCTTGACGTCTGCTAACCTATCAGTTCTCCTGATGACTCCTTATCCTGGACTCGCCTTGCGTACTTGCATCTCTAAAGCAAGGAGTAGTCTGAAGTGCTTGCAAGTGCCATGATGTTAAAAGCTCTTCAGCTCCTGAGTCTTACAACCGTGCAAACTATTCAGGGAAAGAAAAACACGCACAAGGAACCAAAACAAACCAAAAACCCACAACCAAAAACCACCCACAAAAAAAATCCCACCACACCCCACAACAAAACACCCCCCCATACATGCACACATAGTGTAAATATCATTAATATATCCTGAGAGAAGAGTGAAAAAGCTTTTTTCAGCAAGAAATCCATAGAACCCACTGTCTCTTTGCTGTGAAAATTTAGATATGCAAGCCTTGGATTTCATGTAAAAGGAAATTGTTTTCTTTTAAAAAATAGCTGAATTTGCTCTGAATAAGAACATCCATAGAAAATACAGCTCCCTCAAGAAATATTCCTTTAAGCTACAGAAAAAACAAAACTGTATATATTTTATAGTACAAACTATGTAAAATCAAAAAGGAGGGAAGGGAGAGGGGGAACTTTCTCTACAGTACTTTGGTATATTTGAGGTTGTATTTCTCTAGTCCATTTTGAAAAACCTCTCCATCTTACAATCACCAAATCTGAAGTCTTGCAATTCAGGAAAACTGCTGATTTTTAAAAGCTATTTCTCAAGGAACAGAGGAGGAAGAAGAGCAGCTCCCTGTAGAGAGAGGTCTTTAAAGAAAAATCTGCTCCATAGTTGAGCTGCAATCTGCATTAAAGGAGACAGGTACTTTGCTACTCATGTAAATTATTTTCTCTTTTTCTATTTTTTTTTCCAGCTTATAGCATGTATGGACAAGATATCTTACAAGTCACAGTCTAGCTTCTACCTTTAGCTGCTTTTAAAGTACTTACTTTTATGAGAGTAGGAGCTACCTTCCTATTACATTGTTTGTTTTTAAGATGATGCAGTAACTTAGAGGCACTTCTGGTTACAGTTAATATGGAGTCCTTATAATCTTCCTCAAGGAGAAAGGAATGCAAGGCTTTGTTTTTCCCATAAGCAGGAGCTACCTTTAGGATCCTCTTTTGGCTTTGGGAAACTCACACAGAGATGCTTGTTTTGGCAAGTAACTAACAAAAGCAGAATTTCAAGTTAACAGGCATCACATAGAGCAAGTTTTGCAAGGTTTTTTCTGAAGCCAGCTACTTCATTAACATTTTACTTGAGCTACCTGAGAAGGCAAACTACCCATCTCACATTTTAAAAGACACTAAACCAGAAAGACTTATTAAAGTAGTCTTTTGTCTGACTTCATGTAACCATGTAATTTGCAAATAAGTTAAAAATCTTATCATTACCTGACTTACACAGCCAGAAAACTTCAGGTTGTAGAAGAACCACTCCTTTCCTAAGAGCTCAAAGTAACTGGAAAACAAGCCTAAGTATTTCCCAGCCTTTTCTTAGGCCTATCTGTGATAAGCCCTAATTATCTCCCAGCTGGAATAAATCACAAATCACATTTCATTAGCAGCTGAATGAATTCAGCCTTACATACATTGCATCATGATAAAGCTATAAATCTTATTGCTCATTGAAATCCACCTACAACAGGCAAGGACTGAAAATGTAAATGACTGCAATCTTTGATTAGTGTTTTCATTAGCATGACTTTAGAAGACTAAAAGTAACATAATAATTAATGCTTTTTGTGTTGTTGTAAGCCAAATATTTAATATAGGTAATTTGTATTTTGAAGCTTCTATAACCAAACAAACCTGGACACTTGAGCATCTTGCAAAGAAGAAAGCGGGAATGAATATGTTTGCTAGTGTTTGTATTTTTACTTACTAATCTTTTTAGGTGGTTTATGTCTTCAAAGGGAAACAAAAAGCAATTTTTTACCATTTTTCTGAAAGATGAAGTTATGGATACTATTATTTCCT